ATCACTGGAGCCACGCCAAACAATACAATTCATAGGCGCCTGTCTAGATTCTACGACCGAACGCGCATCATTACCGATGGAAAGGTTCTCCACGATGCAAGACTTGATTCAGATATTACTCATCAGTCCAAAGGTTCCCATACTAAGGTGCCTGCAGCTCATGGGTCACATAGCCTCCACAACGTATGTAGTGAAACACGCAAGGTTACATTTGCGATGCATCCAACATTGGATGGCTCGAATCTGCCCCCCCAACGTACGCGACGTCCACAGGACAATAACAGTCCCCATCCACGTCAAGAAATCACTTGCTTGGTGGACAGTACCGAACAATCTGCTGTTGGGAGTTCCCTTTCATCGCCCCCAACCGTCGATGCAATTGACAACAGATGCGTCACTCATCGGATGGGGTGCGCACCTCAGGCGCGAACAAATACAAGGCCTATGGTCACCAGACGAGTCGCTGATGCACATCAACTTTCTGGAGCTCAGGGCAGTGTACAAGGCGTGTCAACACTTCCTTCCTGTCATTCACGACCAGGTCATACGAGTCCTGACGGACAATATAACGACTGTTTATTATATAAACAAGCAAGGGTTGTGCCAGGTCCCACTCCTTGTGCGCGGAGGCGGTGCGTCTATGGAACATGTGCAATCGCCACAATGTCTTTCTAGTCGCAGAATACCTCCCGGGTCAGCACAATGTAAGGGCAGACGCCCTCAGCAGACATTTCTGTCCCAATCACGAATGGGAGCTGCACCCAACCGTAACTGCGACGATATTCCAACACTGGGGTTTCCCAATAGTGGACCTCTTTGCAACTTCTCGCAATACGAAATGTCCTCGGTATTGCTCGAGAGCGGGGATCGGACAGAATTCAGAGGGCGACGCTTTCCTATACAACTGGGGGCGTCACCTACTCTATGCATTCCCACCCACACCTCTAATTCCAAAGGTGGTAGAGAAAATAATTCAAGACAGGGCCACAGTAATCCTAATAGCCTCAGACTGGTCCAGGCAAACATGGTACCCATACTTACATCGCATGTCGAAGCATCCTCCATTTCCTCTGCCACCTCGACACGACCTCCTATCACAGGATCATCGCTCCCTGCTTCACCCGCAGGTGAATCATCTTGCACTCACGGCATGGTATCTAGTTGGTTCCAACAATCAGAAGTGCTATGCTCACAGTCTGTCAAGCACATTCTACTGAACAGTAGAAAACTATCTACACGGACTACTTACCTTTCTAAATGGTCGCGTTTCTCATCGTGGTGTTCACAAAAAGACCAGGACCCAGTCTCCTCACCGTTACAATGTATCCTAGACTATCTCGTACACCTTAAGGATTCAGGCCTCACCTGTACCTCCATCAGGGTTCATGTCACTGCAATTGCAGCCTTTCACCAGCGGATTAACGGATGCTCAGTATTCTCTCATCCAACAACTAAAAGGTTCTTGAAGGGAATGTCCAACCTTTACCCGCACTATACTCAACCAGCGGATCCTTGGGACCTCGAGTTGGTTCTCAATTCCCTAATGGCCAGACCCTTTGAACCGCTAGCGACATGTACGTTATACAACCTGTCCATGAAGGTCATTTTCTTACTGGCCATCACTTCCGCGAGGAGAGTGAGTGAACTAGCTGCATTATCAGCCTCTCCCCCATATACGATTTTTACGCACCAAGCAGTAATACTCCGAACATTACCACGCTTTCGCCCCAAAGTGATCTCTCGATTTCACATTAACGAACCTATAATCCTCCCTGTATTCCATCCTAAACCGCATGCATCACCAGAGCATGCACGCCTGCACACTTTGGATGTCAGACGGGCTCTCGCCTTTTACATCGAGAGGACCAGACCGTTCCGTGTGACGGATGAGTTATTAATATCAATGACGGACCGTTCCAAGGGTCGCCCACTGTCCGCCCAACGCATCTCTTCTTCCATCGTACAGTGCATAAGGTCATGTTATGAACTACGTAAGAAACCACTGCCTTCGACTATGAGGGCTCATTCAACTCGGGCGGTCGCTACATCCACTGCTTTTCTCAAGGGAGTCCCCTTGATAGATATCTGTAGAGCTGCTACGTGGTCTTCCAACTTAACCTTCGCCATGCATTACGCTATCCCAAACTTGTTAATACCTGATTCCACGGTGGCGACAGCAGTGTTATCCTCAGCTACGGCACGATAGCTCCGAACCCTCCTCCATTCGTGAGCTACTGCTGTACATTCACCTACAGTGGAGCACCCACGGGACACTGCTCGAAGAAGAAAAGGAAGTTACTCACCCTGTGCAGTAACGTTTGTTCTTCACCCTGTGCAGTAACGATTTTTCTTCGAGATGCGTGTCCCGTGGGTGCTCCACGAACTGCCCTCCTCCCCTCTTTGGAATTTATTATTATTTGTCTTTCAGACTAAGAGGCAGGAGGAACTGGCAGGAGCCGGACCAGCGCTGCTCAAACGGCGCGAAAAGCCACGAGCCGTACTTCGCACATGCGTGGTCCGGCAGACTACGGCTAGAAAGATCTCCGATCTGCGGCGCCGGGACAAGCCGACACCTACAGTGGAGCACCCACGGGACACGCATCTCGAAGAACAATCGTTACTGCACAGGGTGAGTAACTTCTTTTTTCATATGCTGAAGCACCACAGTCAAAATACACTTGCCCATTGTTCCCCGCTGCTCTTCTGCATTTTAAAAGTAGTAAGAGCTGGCCCTTGCTCAGTTTAAAAGGCTGAGGCACAGCTGGCATAGCGAGTGCCCCACCTCCCCCTTATCAATTAATCAAGTAGTTGATGGAAATTCCATCAACTACTTAATTAGCTGATTAATTGAAATTTAACAACCCTAGTCTGGATAGGTGTAATGGGCTACAAAAAGAGCTATTTTGCCCTATCCATGGTATTTGACCCAGAATTCTCTCTCAAGCTGTTTCCTAATGTGGGTTATATCTTAATAGAGATATTGTCTCATGGACATCTTTGATTACATTTGTGATCCAGAGGCACACATCCAAGTCTTGCTGCCAAAAACAGCCTTGTGAAACAAAACAGTGAGAGTGTACACACTGCTTGATATTTGTCTGGAAAAACACCGTTTTGGTGACAAAAAACTTCTGCCTCTAAAAGAGACTTTTTTTTTCCCTCCCTCACTTTATTGTTGACAAAAAGCCAGTGTGGACTCTATTTGTTTTGTCAACAGAACTGGCTTCTGCCAGTATCTCCCAATGCCTACCCTAATTAGGGATGTAAGTGACTAGTCGACTGTCTGATAAGCATAAGCTTATCAGATAGTCGAGAAGTGACTTGACTAGTTGCTTCCTCCCCCGCTTGCTGCCTCTATCAGAGAGAAGCAGCAAAGTGGGGGAACGAGCCTATGCTGGGGGGAGCCAGCTTAAAATTTGGCTCCACCTACCAGTGTCTCTGTGGAGAGGGGAGAGGCACAGCAGGGAAATGGTGCGAGTGGGAACTGAAGCAGCTGCTTCATCCTTAGAGGAGCCTACAGGCTCTTGTACATTTCAAAAGCAGAAGCACTGCAGGGAATATGGGGTGAGCCTACAGGACGCTTATACATTTCAAAAGCAGAAACCTTGCAGCGAGCACGGGGCCAGTATAGACTCAAGCAGTCTCCACTGTGTTCCCACTGCTATGCTTCAACCTTTGAAATGTAAAAGAACCCTACAGGGCTCTTGCTACATTTCAAAGGCTGAAGCACTGCAGTTGCAATATGGGACGAGTGGGGACTGCTTGAGTCCCTGCTTGCCCCATGTTCCCTGGGGTACTTCTGCTTTTGAAAAGTACATGAACCCCATAAGGCTATATGAGGCAAGAGGAAGGAACAAGAGCTGGTGCTGGGGGGGAGCCAGCTTAAAAGCTGGGTCCCCCCACAGACAGAGCCTGCTGTCACCAAGCAGCCCATTTGTAGCAGCCAGGGCTTCTGAAGCAGCACTTGTCCACAGCCAGTCGTGGCTGCCATGAACAGAAGCTACTGCTGGCACTGCTCCTGCCCATGGCCAACCCCTGCCTGTGGAGGACGGGGCTGTCTGCCATGAACAGGAGCTGCTGGACTCAGTGTGAGCCAGGGCCAAGCAGACCCAGCTCACACTGATCACTGTGCCTCTCCATCTGCATTTTAAATGTAATAAGAGCCCAGAGGCTTACGTTACTACATTTAAAATGCAGAACTTCAGCACAGGAGGCTTCCGGAGCCAGCATGAGCCAGGACTGCTCAGTCCCAGCTACAGCCAGCTCTGGACCTACACCCCACTGTGGATATGCAGCGCAGTCCTATCGACTAATCGTAAAATCGATACAATTTGTATCAACTATACGATTAGCCTAATAACCACATTTTAACATCCTTAACCCTGATGGCTCTGTGAGTGTTTTGATCTTTGCTGCCCTGCAGACATGCACTCCTTCTCTTTTTAAAGTTCCGGGAAGTATCTGACAGCTGAGTGAGCTGCTTCTTTTGGGGAACAAACAAAGAGCAAATAATTGGAGTGCTTCTGTTCTGCCCTGCACTACGAACACAATGGCACGCAGACTGAGACTGCTGCAGGAAGAGGGGGGCAGGCTGCTGTACTGCTTTGACATTCCTCAGCATGGAGAGCTCACAGAGCTACTCATGATGTAACTCCCAGCAGCTAAGGATGGTTTGGGAGAACTCAGAGGGAATCCCAAGATGTGCAGGAATCAGCTCTGCCTTTGCACAGCACTGCACTGTGGGATACATACCCACAGGCACATTACTCACACTGTCAATGATGGTCCTTCCAGTGTGAACATGATCTGTCCTCAGAGAGAGTGTGAACATCCTCTAGTGATTTGTGTTTTGTCAGTTTTTGGATGTCAACCTAAGTTTTGTTGACAAAATCGGTAGTGTAGACTCAGCCTTACTCTCTTCTTTCTGTTCTCTTTCTGCATCTCCTCTGTGTGTATTTCTGTGTCCCTGTGTCTATTTGTCTGTGTCTATTTGTCTGTTTAACTCTGTCCTGATGTCTGTCTGTAGTAGCTGTTAAATACATAGAGTAGCTATTTGTTTGTGGATAGTTAAAATGTGGACTGATTGTTATATTCCCTAGTTATGTTTTATGTACAAATCTGATGAAGCATGTGTTTTAATTTTTCATATGCATGTGATCAAAATAATTATATTTTATTTTACATTATTATGAGTTCCGATAAATTACTTATCACTTGTATGTTGTTTGCCATGTTGTTGTGGCCATATTGGTTCCAGGATATCAGAAGAGAAATAAGGTAGGGCGGTAATAACTTTTGTTGAACAAACTTCTGTTGGTGAAAGAGACAAGCCTTGAAAGTACTCAGAGTGCTCTGTGTATGCTTAAACCAACTTTTTTGAGGAAAGAGACAATCTTTTGAGCTATGATGTTTTATATATTTGAAATATAAAAAAATGATGTAATTATTCCTCACAAGACCTTTGTAAGGGATGAAGGTACCATAAATATTGCCCCCATTTTCTACATAGGGACACTAAAGTGATTTGTCCAAAGCCATTAAGAGTATTTTTTGCTGAACCAATTTTAGAAGTCAGCAATTTTCTGGCTTCTGGGACAATTATCATTCCCCTAGGCCTTGCTGCCTCTTTACCATGCTGAGAACTTTCTGTGACCGCTCTGTCTTTATGTGATAGGAATTGTACCAGCACTTTTTCCAGATGATGAAAAAGACTCTATACTCAGTCAGATTGGAGATGAAGCTATTAAAGCTGGAGTGGGACCTGCTAAAGAAAGTGTCTGGCAGTATTTTGTAAATAAGAGTGCAAACAACCTTCATATTGTCCTTGGGATGTCACCAGTTGGTGATACCCTGAGAACACGTTGCCGAAATTTCCCAGGTTTGTGTATTAAATTTTACACTTCAGTGTTTAGCTCCTGTGTACATATGGGATGCTGGTTAGAAGTAATCTTGGACAAGTTCTTCAATGGATGTGTGCAGATATTTTAAAAGCAGTTATTCATCAGGGCAAACAAATAGTATAGTATATTTTATTATTAGTTACCACACATAAGTGGAGATTGATTGACATTTATATGGTCAGTTTCAGGCTTACCAATGGGGAAGGGATTGGGCAAAGGGGGCAACTGGCCCGGGGCCTTGCTATTTAAAAGGGACCAGGATTTCTGGCTGATGCTATTGCGGCAGTGGTGGTGGCCCTTTAAATCACCACCGAAGCCTCACGATGCACAATCCAGGCAGCTGTGAAGGCTGGTTGGCAGTGGAAGGACATAGAAAGGTGTGGGTTAGGTGGGACTGAGGGCTGGCTGCTGCAGCCCCACACCTTCTGGGAGCGCAGAATCAGTCCTTCCCTCCCATCTTGTCCAGGGGCACAGTAAGTCTGTTAGCCCCCCCCCCCGGCTCTGTTTATATTTGGGTCAGATAATTAACAGTCAGTTAATAACTTCTTTGAACTATGAATGTGTGCTAAATGGCCTGCCTGTATTGCAGCACTTCATCTCTATTAGAGTAACTCTCAAATTGTCTCCATTCACTGGTCTGATATTTACAGATTAAAGACGGTTTATGAGTAGCTGTGGAAATAAGTTACTTACTTACAAAAGAACAATGCAGTGGGTCACATGAGGGGTAGGCCTGGACACTGGGTACTCAGTTCGTTATTTGATATTTAAATAGAGGGTTTGGTTTATGCGTAAGCACCTTTGCTAAAAGTACCAGACCGTGTACTAATTAAGCTTTTGATCCTGCAAACACATATGAGTAAAGTTAAGCATAAGCATATTTGCAGGATCCGGGGTTAATACTGAAGATGGATTGTTTTGTTGACAATATTTATTTGTTTTAAGGTCTTGTCAACAATACTGGCATTGACTGGTTCTTGCCCTGGCCCCCACAAGCCTTATATGCCGTTGCCAAGTCCTTTTTAGGTAAGGAAAATGTCAGCTTCAAACTCATGGTGTATCCAGTAATATCAGGATTCACTGCCTTTAAGATATTTGCTGTTACATTAAGGATGATTCTTCATTTTAAATTGACAGTCTAATGACTAAAAACAAATTACAAATAGTTAATTAGTTTTTTAAGTTTGCTAAAATTCAAATTGAAACTAACTTCTGTGTTTCTGAGAAGTCATATCATCTTCTGCATAAGTAAGTGAAATAAAGTATCCTCACAAACATTAGCAGGATGTTTGCAGTCCTCTGCCCAAGGTACAGTGGCAGCAAGCAAGTTTTTACTTCGAGAAATCCCTTTCAGGTTTCTTAATTGAACTTGGTTTAGAAGTTGAGGATGGGGTTTTTAGAAGCACAGATCCTGGACTTCTTTCTGGAGCCACTTTTAGGCCCTGCTGAAAATCCCACCAAGTGCCAGTAAAAAGCAGCAGATGCATAAGGGATTACAAGAGCTGCCTGCAAGTAGAATGGAGAAGGACTTGGGAGATTTTGTTATGAAGCTGTGTCACTCTCACTCATTTCTTGCTGGTAAAGAAGTTAGACATCAAATGTCTGATGTATCTAAATGTGGCTCTCAAGTCCTTCCATCTTTCCATAGAGAGTCCATAGGAAGTATTTCTTATGAACTCCCTATGTAAATGATTCTTAAATTTGCACACACCCCAGTTTTTAAACCTCTACAGATCTGGTTGTGTTGGTCTTGAATCTTACACTCACAGATCTAAAGTCCTTTGTTGTGTAGATAGTGAGCTCACCCTGAAAGCAATGATGCAGATAGAGGTTGAACACCGGTAGTTTGGCACCCTCGGAACCTGACTGGTGCCAAACTAGAGAATTTGCCATACCATGAGAGGTCAATATTATCTAGCAACATCGCCAACACTTCCACTGCTTACTGGGCTTTTAGAAGACATTTGGGGTAATTTAGAGCTTAATAACAGCACAGAACACTGAGAGCCAGGACTGGTGGCTGTAAACAAACTTTGAGACCATGGGAAACTTGGCCATGCCCATGATAAGTGGACATCTGGCTAACTAAAACCAAGGCATAGTGAAGGGTGGGGGGGACAGTTGCCCCCTGGTGCCACACTAGGGGGGCGCCAGGGTGGGAGCAAAGCGCATGCTGCTCTGGCCCACATGATGCTTTTGAACAGAGACCCGGGAGTTGGCTAAGTGCTCCCGGCTCTCTACATGCTGCGAACTGAGGCAGCAGGGCTGGGCGGCAGCAGCGGCCACTTGAAAGGTTAGATTTCCTTACCCAGCAGTTCCATTCCTCTGGTGCCTGGCTCTGAGGGGGGAGGAGGATTTGATGGGGGCGCTCCCGGCGCTGGGGGGACCTGGCTCAGGGGTAGGGGTGAGTGCATTGAGGTGGGAGGGCTGGCTCTGGGGGAGGGGTGAATGCATTGGGATGGGGGGCCCTGAAAGGGAGGGCTGGTTCTGGGGGAGTGGAGAGAGGTGGGTGCATTGGGGTTACTTATAATTTTTCTAAAATAAAAGATATTTTATAACAAATATAAAAACTTAAAAAATAATGGTCTGGTAACATTTTAAAGACTAACAAACAAGTAGATCAGGCATGTCAAATTTGAAGCCCACTAAGGGCAACACAAGTGAAAAATGATAGCTTTCAGGGACACCAAATAAAATGTACTTCTATCGGAAAGTTGTAATTATTTATTATTATAGAGTATGTTAAAGTATATTTTAAAATATTTTTTCAGGTCTTGTTTTAATATAATACAATAATTTGATGTGTAAAATTATTTGCTCACAAAATAATTTTTAATTTCAATATAAATGTAAGGTGCTTTTAAATTTTTTATATGATATATAACTTGTTTTGTTGAAATAAAAACAAGTATAGACTATGGTAAATCAAATAGGATAGGCTTCTGTGAAAATTTCAGATACTTTGTAAGTTTGAGATTTTGCATAAACATATAATTATTCGTACAATTTCAAATAATTTATCTGACATATTTATTTATATAAAATTAATATACATTTTGTGATTTTATTTGGAAATAAATAAATAAAACCCAAAACATTAACAAAATATCCCCCTCCACTCTCCCGGAGCCAGGCACTCCCATATCCCTGTTCTAACCCAAATGCCTTCCACTCTCCCAAAGCACCACCAACCCACTCTTAACTCAATGCCTCTTCCCTTCCCCAGACCCAGGCACTCTCAGTCCCCCCCATACCTAATGCCTGGGTCCTGGAGCTAGTGTCACTGTCACCGCTGCCACACATTTCTTTCTTAGGCACTGGGGAGGTGTGAGCACAGCAGCTAGCTGTGAGCAGGCACTTGATGCCTGTGCAGAGCAGCTTGGCCAGCTGTGATCTGCACTCAGCCATGTGCTCCCAGCGGCCAGTGGTCTGCACTGTATTCTTTTATAAAAATGTAGTGGCAGGCCACAAAAAAATTAAATTGGGAAATATGTAGCCTACCAGAAGCCTGTTTTGACATACCTGATGTTGATGGTATCATGAGCTTTAGAGGGCACAACCTACTTCCACCCACGAAAGCTTATACCACCTTCTACATAAGGGGTGGACAATAATTTTTGCCCCGGGGCCACTTCAAAAACATTTTAAGTAGCCCTGGGTCAGCCCGGAAGGGGCGGGGCCTAAACAGGAAGGGACAGGGCTACCCAGACCATGATTGGTCTGGGGTGGAGGAGCCCTTTTGCCCCCTCCTTCCCACTAGGCATCCATGCCTCTGGTAGGGCAGGAGGAGGTTTTGCATGCTCCCCCGCCTCCAAGCCCTAATTGGCCTGGGAGGTGGAGGATCAGCAGGGGCTCTGTGGACCGGATCTGACCCACGGAGGATCTTTTGCCTACCCATGATCTACATGTTTTGTTAGTCTTTAAAGTACCACTAGACTATTTTTTGTTCAAGTTTTTCCTGTTACAGACTAACTCGGCTACCCCTCTGAAGCTTCTAAAAATGGTTCTGTACTATACCATTCCTTTTGTCCTCCCTGTTTCCTTTCTCCTTTGGCGAGTTGGGCAGGCAGGGGTTTTGGTAAAAATGTATCTGACATGCACACAGTGCCTGCCCTTCCTCAGCTGGTGCTGGATAATCAGAGCCTCAATTCTAAAGGAGTTGGCATTACTGAAGTGATAGATCACCCCACATTTTGTTGCAGATTTTCCATCTCCCAGTCATAGCAGAGACTTGAGATTAACGTGGCTTTCTCAACTAAAAGTCTTGTACATGTTCAGATGTTGTGATTTTGAACACCTGGAGAGGCCGTCTGTTCAAGGCAAAGTTGGCCTTGAATCTTGATATCTATGGTTTGTGTGAAATTTGGAAGAGCAGCTCAGAGACCCCTCTCTGCTTTACTAAGTATAGAGTCTCCTGGCAGCCTGAAGGAAAAAGTCCTCGTGACAGAGTTGCAGGGTATCCTCAGCCTTAGGCTACTTATTGTTTAAAGTGCCTTCAAGAAAGTGAGGGTGATTCTTGTGTTGTGTGTTCGCTTTTTGTTAGGTGTGTATATATACATGATTATTTAATTTTTATGTCAATTCAGCATCTTCTTCTGGCAGGTCCTCTCCCTCCCCCGGTGCAGGGAAACCTCTGCGCCCAACTCACCCCTCCAGCGCCGGTGGCGCAGGGAAGCCTCCGCACTCCTCCTCTAGGGCCAATGCCCCCTCCCCCAGCACGCAACAGAGCTGTGGGAGGGGGAGCAGCCCACGCACTTCTGGAACCCCCGGACGTGACATGGGCTTCAGAGAGGATTTTCATCCACCCCGTGGGAAGCCGGCACTACACTAGAGGTAGGTAGTGGGGCTTCTCGGGAGTGAGGGGAAAATGGGGGGCAGGGTTGCCCGAACGCCTCGCAATCAACTGGTCGAGGCCTCGTGATCGACCAGTCGATCACGGTCGACGGGTTGGTGACCATGGCCCTAGGTCACCCTCGTCATGCTGGATCATGGATGTTGCTGGATCAGAAAGGCTCAACCTGTATAATGCAAAGATCTGAGCTCAATCTGTAGGTGTTGATATCGCAGACCCCACAAAACTCAAATTTGCAGGCTTTTTCAGGGTGCGCAGAGATGTACTGGGAAAGAACTTTTAAAAAATATATTGGCCAAGTTAAAGAGAACTCCAGAAGCTGGAGGCACTATGGTTGAATGCTGTGAGCATTAGACCAGCTCTTAGGATTCCTGGGCTCTGTTCTTCACTCCGCCACTGACTTTTATTTTTCCCAGTGCTTTAGTCTCCCTATCTGTAAAATGGGAAATGACGAAATTTAGCATCTTTTGAATGTCTTTGACATGTTTTATTTTTCATGTCCTCTTTTCAGGGGAAAATCCATTGATCCCAGCAGAGTACTCAGAGTGTGTGATTGAGCACATTGTCATGGTGCATGAATCTGTAGGGAACTTCAGTAAAAAATTCCTACAAAAGTTGAGACGCAGCAACTTTGTTACGCCAAAGAATTATCTTGATTTCATTAATACTTACTCAAAATTGCTGGAAGAGAAAAATCTGTTCATTTTAGGTAAGGTTTTCTCTTTTTGAGACTATATGATAGAAATGGTTTTAACAGACTCATTTCACTCTTCGAGTCTGTGCAAAAGCAATCAAGTAACTACAACCCAAATGCCCCCAAATTACTACTGCATTAAATAACGAGTCTTTCTCTGAGTAACACATTTTCTTTATCTGGACCTGAGGCCGAACCTCCTATGCAAACCTCCCAGAGCTTTGGGAGAGTCTGGATATGGATTTGAACTTGGTTGCTCACACTCAGCTCGGGGTTTTATAGAGGTGCTGGTGTGACATGCATTGTTCCTCTTGGAATAGGTAGCTGTATTCTGATGAATACTGCAATGTGCTTAATGCATTGAAATGTACAGTATGCAGACAGTCCCCGGGTTACATGGATCCGACTTACATCAGATCCCTACTTACAAACGGGGTGAGGCAACCCCGCACTAGCTGCTTCCCCCCAGCAGACCAGGGAGACGCGAAGCTAGGGAGCGGCTTTTCTCAGCAGACACCTCAGCTTGAGAATAAAGGACTGAGGGAAGTGAGGTGTGGGAGAATAAAAGTGAGCTCTGGAGAAATGTTTGGCTAGAGTTTCCCCTACAGTGTGTACCAGTTCTGACTTACATACACATTCAACTTAAGAACAAACCTACAGTCCCTATCTTGTACGGGGACTGCCTGTAGTCAGAGCTTCTGCAGAAACAAGAAAATGTGCCACAGGCAAAAGAGGGTCCATGACTCAGCCATGCTCTGCAAATCCTGAGCCAAAGCTATAGCAGTAGGATTGAAAGGATGGTTTCATGTTCATTTTACTGTCTAAACATGAGGACTGACCAAGGAGCTTGGGCTTTTTGGAGCACTGTAATAGCTTGTGACCCTCCAAAAATAGCAAGGAAGGTCTTTTAAGAAAAGGACTGATTTCTGTGACCACAGAATGGGACACATTTTAAATAATGGTATCTGTCAGGATATGATAAATCAATAACATTTTTCCCCTTTTTTCACTAAGCACAATGCAAACGCCTGGAGGGAGGATTAGATAAACTGAAGGAAGCTACTGTTCAGCTGGATGAACTAAATGAGAAACTTGCAGAGCAGAAAATTGTATTAGCTGAAAAATCAGCTGCCTGTGAGGCCTTGTTACAAGAGATAGCAACCAACACAACAATAGGCAAGTATTTAAAACACCTGTCATATCCCACAAGATAAGCTGGTTTGGGCCAGGTCAGTATTAGATTGGGAGATTCTTAAAGAACACAGGTGTTGTTCATTTAATACCTGCATCCTTTAAGAATAACCATCATGGTATCATTAACAGTTATATGGTACTTAGCACTGTATTTTGATCATATTCCAACCTGTACAATTACAATCTTCTCATGGCAATGTCCATTACCATTGCAAGTAGATATTGTGTTCTTCTTCACATCCCATCCCAAAACTGTTGAAAGAAACTTTTTCTTTCACAGGTGTGGATAATAGTTTTAGAAGGGGGACCACTTCACAAATTTTTTAAATGGTCCCAGGCCTTCCTGGAAGGGGCAGGAGCTAGGACACTTCCATGGTTGGAGCCAGGACTCTTCCATGCTCTCTCAGCCCACTGACCCTGATTGGCCTGGTGAAGCAGGTGAAGTTTTTGCCCGCACTATGCCTCCTACAAAGAACCTCTGGCTGTTCTGGTCAGCTGGCGGTTCCCTCTGGGCACTCAGGGCCTGGGGTGAGGAAGCATACAAAGTCTTTTGCTTCCTGCCCCTACCCTGCAAGAGTCGCATGGTGCTTAGAGTTTAGCTAGCAGTTCAGTCTAGGCACCACACACCCCTTGCAGGGCAAGGTTAGAGCAGACTTTGTATGCTCCTCCTGTCCCCAGACCCTGATTGGCTTGGGGACAGAGGGAATGTGCAAAGTACCTAACTCCCTGCCCCCAAGTGGCGCTTAAGAGTGAACTGCCAGCTGAGTAGCTAGCAATTCACTCTAAGCGCTGCTTGCCCCTGGTGGGGGAGGAGACTTCATGCGCTCCCCTGTCCCTGGGGCGAGGAAGCGGCAGAGCATCTGCAGACCGGATCAACCCACTTAGCAGCAAGGAGAGTGTAGTGAGCCAAAGGCATGGGTGGCACGAGGAAAAGTAATAGGAGTAGATGTGCCAGGGGTCAAAAGAAGATTTGTGAGCTATTTCCCCTCTGAAAAGGGAGAGACAAACAAGAAAAAGGGAGCAGAAAAGGAGATTGCATCCTGCTGTTATTATGAGCATTCCATAACTTTTCTGTGGTGGGAAAAGTACTTCAGTTGCAGTGACCTAGCACCAAATGAGTTAATAGTGGTGACAGCTGTAGTTTCTGATTTTAGGTCGTGTGCACTTGCAGTGGTTTGTTAGCTAGATACAAATCTTAGGAAGCCATTTACCATAGTCTGCCTTTCACACCTTTTAGCTGAGGAGAAGAAAAAATTGGCTGAAGAAAAAGCGATGGAGATAGAAGAACAAAATAAGGTCATTGCTGTGGAAAAGAAGGATGCAGAGACGGCCCTGGCTGAGGCTATGCCTATTTTGGAAGCTGCTAAATTGGAGCTGCAGAAGCTTGATAAGTCTGATGTCACAGAAATTAGGTGATTAGTTCTAATTTGTAATAGCATAAACTTGAGAATTATTTTTTATGGTGACTTTTGCTGCATTGGGGGAGCAACTCACAAACACTTAGCACCTTCAATTTACAAACCCTGTGAGAGGCAAAGAAGCATGATCATCCTTATTAGACAGATGTGGGGAATGAGGCTAGAGAGGTCAAGGTCTCTCAGGGAGTCTGAGGCAGGGCTTGGAGATCTCCAAGCCCTATGAGTCAACCACTGCTTTGTTCCTGAAAAGCAGTCCAGTATTTTATGTTTTTCTAGTTATTCTGTAATACAGTTCTTGTACCCTGTGTACTACAGACTGAACTGGCTGTGGGGGTCATTCAGGTAGTAGCTATCCCAGCCCTTTCACTGTGGTAGAAGTGATGTTATTCTATATAAATATGGGATATATAGCACTTGTGTTTCAAGTATGTTTGATGGTAAGACTATGCATTTCTTTTTTGGTAGACCCTTCTTTTTTGTGTTTTGTAGGGGTGATTTTAAAGCTATACGCAAACTTCAAAACATTCTGCCACTTTTGCTCCCTTCAGACTCTTCCAATGGGACACAGTCATACCAGGGTATAAAATATATTGGAAGGACAGAATTGGTTGTGCTGGTTGGGGAGTGGCACTATACAAAATGAAGAATCAAATGAAGTAAAAATATTAAATGTGCCAAAATATTCCATAGAAACTCTATGGACAGTAATTCCATGCTCCAATAATAAGATATAACAGTTGAGATATATTATCAATCACCTGATCAGGACAGTTATAGTGACTATGAAATGCTAAGGGAGATTAGAGAGGCTACCAAAATAAAAAACTCAATAATAGTGGGGGGTTTCAGCTATCCCCATATTGACTGAGGACCCGTCACCTCAGGATGGGATGCAGAGATAAAATTTCTTGATACCTTTGCAACCCTTCTGGCGGGTAGGCCTGGCAGCAACCAGGGCTGGGTTCAATATCTAGGGGTCCATCTTACACAGAACCGGCTCGAGCCCCCACCCAGTAACCTGGGAAATTCACACACCCCTGGGCACCTCTGAGAGGCAATGCTTCCCCACTCACAAGCAGAGTCTGAGTGTAGAAAAGGAACATTTAATGAAACAGAGAGAAGTAGGAATAAGAGAAGTAGGAATAAGAGATCCTCCAGAATAGGGCTTTATTCCGGAGGATCGGGCCAGTCTAGACGCTTTTTTCCGGCTTTTCCCCAAGCCGGAAAAAAGCGGCGGACATCTTTATTTAAATCCCGCGGGGGATATTTAAATCCCCTGCGGATTTCCCTATTCTGAAGTTGAAAATTAGCATGCCCCTTTCGGAAAAGGGGCCAGTGTAATTTGTTGGGGAGGAAATCAACATTGTTTCTGGAAAGGGAAATCTTGCCTTACTAATTTACTAGAGTTCTTTGAAGGGGTCAACAAACATGTGTACAAGGGGGATCCAGTGGATACAGTGTACTTAGATTTCCAGAAAGCCTTTAACAAGGTCTTTCACCAAAGGCTCTTAAGTAAAATAAGTTGATAACTGGTTCAAAGACATGAAACAAAGGGTAGCAATAAATGGTAAGTTTTCAGAAGGGAGAAAAGTGACTAGTGATGTCCCCCAACATGGCTGGCCCACAACATTTTGTCACCTGAGGCAGGGAGCTCAAAGGAGGCTCCCATAGCCCCTAGCTTGGGCCGAAACTTTGGAAGGTTTCAATTCTGCCTTCTTTCTGCAATTCTGCCTTCTTCCTGTTCTACTCTTCTCATGGTACTGTGCATCTAGAGCAGAGAGAATACATATGCACCAGCAGCAGACACAATTTTCTACACTCTGGGTCCTGGTGGTGCGCCCTCCTCCCCCAAATCTGGAACCTGAGGCAGTAGCCTCGGTTTGCCTCATGGTAAGACTAGCCCTGTCCCCCAAGAGTCTGTCCTGGGACCAATCCTATTCAACTTAATTATAAATGATCTGGAGAAAAGAGTAAACAGCGAGAGAGCAAAATTTTCAGATGATACTGAACTGCTCAAGATGATAGATAAGACCAAAGAAGACTGTGAAGAGCTTCAAAAAGGTCACAGCAAACATTGGGTAACAAAATGGCAAATGAAATTGAATGTTGATAAATGTAAAGTAATGCACAAGGGAAATAATAATCTCAGCTATACACACAATATGATGGGGACCAATTTAGGTACAACTATTCAAGGGAGAGATCTTGGAGTCATTGTGGATAGTTCTCTGAAAACTTCCATTCCATGTGCAGTGGCGGTCAAAAAAGCAAACAGAAGATAAGGAATGATTTAAAAAGAGCTAGAGAATAAGACAGAGAATATTTTATTGCCTCTGTATAAAACCATGGTACGCTCACAACTGGAATGCTGCATACAGATGGGGTCTCCTCATCTCAAAAAAGATGCATTGGCATTGGACAAGGTTCAGAAAAGGGCAACAAAAATGATTAGGGGTTTGGAATGGCACCCATATGAAGACAGATTAAAAAGACTGGGACTTTTCATTTTAGAAAATAGGAGATTAAGGGGGGATATGAAAGAGGTCTATAAAATCATGACTAGTGTAGAAAAACTGAATAAGGAAAAGTTATTTATTTGTTTCCATAATATACGAAGTAGAGGTCAAATTAATAGTTAGCAGGTTTAAAACAAACAAATGGAACTTTTTCCTCACACAGTGCACAGTGAATCTGTGGAACTCCTTGCCAGAGGATGTCGTGAAGGATTTTAAAGGGTTCAAAAAGGAACTAGATAAATTCATGGAGGTTATAGCCATCAATGGCTATTAGCCAGGATGGGTAAGAATGGTGTCTCTAACCTCTGTTTGTCTGGAAATTGATGACAGGAGAGGTATCATGTGATGATTATCTGTTGTGTTCACTCCCTCTGGGTCATCTGGCATTGGTCATTATTGGGCAGACAGGATACTGGGCTTAGATGAACCTTTGGTCTGACCTAGTAGTATGGCCATTCTTATGTTTCAGTCCCCAGCACACTTCTTAATCTTCCTCCTCCCACAAGGCCACCTGACTCTTTTGCTATCTGTTCCCCTTGCAACTGGCAGGTTCACCACCTTCTTCTATTCAATGGAGCTATGCTGATTTACGCTAATGGAGCATCTGACCATCATTGCATCCTTGCATTCCATCAGACCTGGCTTTCATCTGGCCACATTTTTCAAAGGATAGTCCATAACAGCGTTTTCCAAACTATGGGATGTGGCCCGCTACCGGGCCGCAGGAAAAAAATACCAGGCCTCAGCATGGCTTCCGGGAGGGGAGCAGAGCGGGGAGGGCTGAGAGGAAGTGTGTGTGTGGGGGGGAACCGGCCGCTGGGAAGCAGGGTTGGGGGCAGCGGGGCTGTCCTGCAAAGATCTGGGCAGGCGGGTGGGTGGCGGGGCCCTCCCATAGAGATCCGGCCAGGCAGGCGGCGAAAGCAGAGCTAGGGGCAGAGGGGCTGTCCCGCGGAGATCTGGGCAGGCGGGCAGGCGGCAAAAGCAGGGCTGGGGGCAGCAGGGCTGTCCCGAGGAGCTCCGGGCAGGTGGCCGGGCGGGCGGCAGAAGCAGGGTTGGGGGTAGCAGGCCTGTCTGG